CACACACACACACACACACACACACACACACACACACACACACACACACACACACACACAGGTACGTAATACTGTATGTTCAAATAATGGTATTACCTGGGTTGGGACCCACACTAGGGTTGGGACCCACACTGGGGTTGGGATTAGGGCCCACGCTGGGGTTGGGGTTGGGGCCCACGCTGGGGTTGGGGTTGGGGCCCACGCTGGGGTTGGGGTTAGGATTGACAGTGGTGCCCTGAGTCACTGGGCGGGTGTTCTGTCCAGTGACTGGGTTAGTGACTCCACACAGAGGCTTTCTACAGCAGGCGTTGTTCTCATCTCTCACCCAGACACAGCCCTGGGGCAAGGCAGGATAGGATGGGCAACTGTAAAACATACATATATATATATATATATATATATACCATTAAGTTGAACAGCCTCACTGGGACCATCAGTGATGTTTTAAGTTATCAACAATCAAAAGTTAAATTCAGTAAAAGATTGTTATTGTCAAATAAAAATAATCATCTGGATTAAAAAAAAGATATAAGTTTTAGCCTAAACTACACCTTAATTCAAATTCAGTCTCTCCCCTTTTATTACTCTGAAGTAACTATATAGTATTATGTATTAAATACTGGTATAGTCCAGTTATAAAAATTATACTGAGGAGTTGATACATTTTGCAAAAATCTGCTTGATTAGATCTCTTAAAAGAATGAGAATGATGTAAAAACAGCTACATTTCACTCACATTTCTGTGCACTGGTAGTTGCCAGTGGTGCCATCTACGCAAATGCAAGTGTAATCACAGCCATCCTGCCATCTTTGACCTTGAGTGTATGTGCGGCCTTTGTATTCACACAGATCTGGCAATAATTAAATTAAATCTTAATTACAAAAAAGAATCTAAAAAAACATACAAAAGCAACACAACGAAATAAAATACAAATAACAAATCAAATTGCAATTTTATTCTTAAAGAAACATCTTGTTGAAATAAATCTAAAAAAAAACTTACTTCTCCCTGTGACTGGTTTCCCAATGCCAGTGATAGTTCCTGGACCAATGGGTGTGATGACTGGATTTGGATTAGGAGTGACATTTGGATTGGGGTTAGGGTTGGGATTAGGAGTAACATTAGGATTGGGGTTAGGGTTGGGATTGGGAGTAACGTTTGGATTAGGATTAGGATTGGGGTTGGGTGCTATTGTTGTTCCCTCAATGGTTGGGAAGGAGCACTGTGGTTTCTTGCAGCAAACATCCAGAGGATCATTGACAAGTTTGCAGTAAGATGGAAGACTGGAATATGTTGGGCATCTGGAACCATATGGAGACATTATAAATAATTGAACCTCTTTTTTTATATCTTACTTGCCAGCTTAATGAATTTTTAAATATGTTTAACAACCTTGCATCTTTTATTAAAATGTAAGGCAGTCAATATTTTTGAAAATATTGACTGCCTTTGAAGAACAAAGTCAAAATATTCTTAGTGTTAATGAAAGTGGGTCCAGTAGAATTAAAAATTCTTCTCACCTGTCAGAACACCTGTAGAAGCCAGTCATGTCATTCTCACACACGCAGTCTTGGCAGTTGTTGGTCCACCTCTGTCCCTGTGAGTACTGACGGCCATTCATCACACAGTAATCTGCATGATAAATAAATTTGATGAGACAAAAAAGAAAATATTGATCAAAATATCATCATCATCATTTCCTTGTTTGGTAAAAAGAATTTGTATAATAGTGAAAGCAATTACTGATCTCAAGTTGGTACCAGTTTGCATGAAACAAAATGAATTATTATGTATTTAATATCTGAGAAATAGATCAGCACAAATCAATAATTTCATCATTCTAATCAATGAACTATTTCCTGATACTTACTCCTAGTTGGGAAGGTAGGGCGTGGCTTGGGTGTGGTACTTCCCTGCCCAGTGATCGGAGGGCTGGTAACAGCGGGGACGGTGCATTTTGGCTTTGAGCAGCAAGGGTCAGCTGGGTCGGCCTGGAGGGTACAGTAGCTCGGCAGGTTGACATATCGAGCACATCTGCAAAAATTAGGACCGAGATTTTTTTTGTAATGTCGTATAATATTTCTATCAAAAGTCACTGATTGACTTGGAAGATTGACAAATCTATACTTAATACAAGTAAGTAGTCAAAAAATAAAAATGTCTAATAATTCAATTTTTTTTTTCTTTTTCCAAAAAAAGTTAAACACTGAGAAAATGGGCAACAAAATTAATTAAATTAAGATTAAGTTTCAAAGAAGGCAGACAATACCAAATATTCAACATTCATGTCCAGTAACAGATCTCCGCTGATTACCTTTCCGTGCACTTGTACTTTCCTGTCTTTCCATCCTCACAGATACAATTGAAATCACAGCCATCCTCCCACTTCTCCCCAGTCTTGTACTTCTGTCCATTGTACAGGCAAACTTCTGCAAATTATGAAAAAGTGTACATAGCAAATGTGTATTTCTTTCGACTAGTAGTAAATTAAACATATACATACGGTTGCTGCATTATTAATCTTTTTTTACAGATGAAGGTAAAATTAACTGACTTTTAATTTTTTTTTTCCAATCAAATTGTACCCCGTTCAAAGAAATTTGGGGCCCAAATATTGAACTTGTTAATTATAAATAACTGAATAAAGTGAGAACTTTGAGGCAAAGTGTAAGTTTATGTATAAATTCAAACATTCTTTTTTCTTACCTTCCCTTACTGGAATAACTGGATTGGGGTTTGGTGTAACATTAGGATTAGGATTGGGATTTGGATTGGGGTTTGGTGTGGCATTTGGATTGGGGTTTGGATTGGGGTTTGGTGTAGCATTGGGGTTTGGATTGGGGTTTGGTGTAGCATTGGGATTTGGTGTGGCATTTGGATTGGGGTTTGGATTTGGATTAGGATTGGGGTTTGGTGTTGGGTTTGGACGTCCAATTCCAGTAATTACGCCAGGAATGGCAGTTGGCACAATCGGCTGTCCTGTCCCTGTTCCTGAAATATGCCAAAAATTGCTGTATATAGTATGTTTTTGTGTGCTTATTAAAAAATCTTGTTCATTTTGATAAAAATTGACATCCCAGAAACACTCAAAAATTAAAAATAATCACATCGAATAAAATAGAACCCCACATCAGTTGCAAATTATACTTGAACTGCCTAAAAATCTGTGTTAGCAATTTTATAGAAATAATATTGAAATGTAATCCACACCTGTGATGGTTCCAGTGGTTCCTGGGAAGTTGCATTGTGGGATCATACAACAAGAATCCTGGGGGTCCGTAACCATGGTACAGTAGCTGGGGACGTTCGGGTATTTGGGGCATCTGGGAAAAAGTTGACATATTAAAAAATCAAGCTGCATGTTTCAGATCATGAGACATAGGAGGTATTTTGCTATGTAGGCATTCAAGATGCACTGCGGAATAAAAAGTAGAATCTTGAGGGCTGGTAACTCTAGCAATTCATCTGAATGGAAGTTGAGGTATAAACGTTTTACAACCTATAATCAAACTAACTGAAACAAGAAAAAAATTGAGTTAAAAAAATTTTTTAGATACTTTTTAACTTCCCCTCACCTTTCGTCACAGACCCAATAGCCTCTAATGGCGTCTTCACAGCGGCAGTTCTTATCACAACCATCAGTCCATCTCTGGTTCTGGGTGTAACGAGCATTGTTATACACGCAATAGTACACTGAAATAAAAGAAAAACTATTTTCAACTGCAATGCCAAATTTTTCATGAAGCAATCAGTTTTTTAATGTCCCTCCAAGACTACAGATAAAACTGTTGTGAAAGAATAAGATTCTTTATAAATGTATCATTTCAGCCTATTACAGCATAAAAAATGCTCAAAAAAGGAGAATAAATCAAAGCATTCTCCAATATATTACGTTACCTTGTTGGGATGGGTTGGGATTCACAACTGGATTAGTACCACCACCTGTGATACCTCCTGGATTGGTGCCTGGATTGGTGCCTGTGATGGTGCCTGGATTGGTCCCTGTAATGGTGCCTGGATTGGTGCCGGTGATGGTCCCTGGATTGGTGCCAGTGATGGTGCCTGGATTGGTGCCGGTGATGGTGCCAGGGTTGGTACCAGTGATGGTGCCAGGGTTGGTGCCAGTGATGGTGCCTGGGTTGGTGCCTGTAATGGTGCCTTGGCCAGTGTTGACACCCGTGGTGCCAGTAAAGTCACACTTTGGTTTCTGACAGCAAGCATCGTTGGGATCAGGGATCAGGCGACACTGAGCTGGTAGTGCTTGGAATGTTGGGCACCTGTTATCAAGAAAAGTCGAGTATCTCAACATATTCTGCATTGTTCTTTCTTTCATATTGTAGTATTTTCTAACAATTGGATAGTGTGGTAAAGCTTGGAATTCTCTTTACTTGCTGTATAATATAACCTTAATTCTAATCTTTTATGACTTTATGGAACAATTTTTTCAAGTACAAGTGCATCAATTTCTAACAAAAAGCATGAATTGTCATTGATTTTAAAACTGTACTTGTAGTAACAAAACCCGGTTGCCAAGGTAAACACGATACTGGCTTTAACAATGTTTATCTAAAGATCTGTTAAGACTACCAAGAAGGAAATTCTACACCAAAAAACCAATTGGTCTTGCACCATGAGTCTGTCAGATTATAGGGCAACTGCTTTGCATAATTCCCAGTCTAAAATAGTTCCAGTCTGAACATGCCTCAGTTAATCCCAGTTTTTATGAAGCTCACTGTCAACAGTGACAGGTAAAATTCTTTCACTTACCTGTCTGTGCACCTATAGTTCCCAGTTGTGTCATCCAAGCATTCACAGCTGTAGTCACAGCCATCTTGCCATTTTGCCCCTTTGCTATATTGTCTTCCCTTGTAGATGCAGTAGTCTGAGAAAATTATCAACCAATTATTCTTGATATATAATAAATAAACTAGTCTCACATTTAAGCAAATGATCTATTCAAAATGAATTAAATATCAATAATTTGCTTAAAAAAATAGAATCATATAATCTGTGTGTACACATAAGGCTCTGTGTGTGCGTGCATGCATTCTTACGTGCGTGCTTGTAATTATTACATCAAATAACTTACTAGGTCTGGACCCTGGTGCAGGTGTGGGTCCTCCAGGGACAACTGGGTTCCCAGTTCCAGTGATTATTCCAGGAACAGCAGTTGGGATGACCACAGATGTTCCTCCAGTCTGACTTCCAGGAATGACAACTCCTAAGAAACATAACAGAAAACAAAAATTAAAAGATCCTCTGAGAAGTACGATACGGTATCCAATGGTTACAAACATTTTTTGAAAAACTGTTAATTTACTTGAAACATCTTACTATCTTTTACCTCAAACAAAAAAGGCTTTCAAGGTGACTGATCACCAAATTAAAATCCTTAACGTAAAATTTGGTACACATGATTTGAATTGGCAAAAATTTCATCAATATATAAAATATCTTTAAAAAATGCTATCCCCATTCAACACTGCAGAACTACCATCAACAACATAATGTGTATACAGTAAAAAGTGATGGGTTTCCGTAAATATACCTGGAACATTAGTGCCACCGGTGCCAGTTATCTGTCCATAAGTGGGCTGGAAGTTACACTGTGGTTTCTGGCAGCAGGCAGGGTCCCTGGGGTCAGCCACCAGGGTACAGGCACTGGGGTAGTCTCTGTAGGTGGGGCACCTGGGAAGAGTAGACAATACTCATATGTGATATTCGCTTTTTAAACAGCTTTTATCCAAGTGCAGTGAAGCATTTTCATTTGATCTCAAAACCCAATATTATTTCTGAATTTGGAAGCCTGTAGATTTGTAAACGTATGTGTGTATTTACTTGTGTTTACAAAGCAACACTGCTTTTTTAGAGTTTTTCCTTTTCAGTTTAATGTAAATAGAGCACTGACATTACGTATTTGATAAAAAAATATTATTCCCATTCCAATATTCCCTGCATAACATTTTGGTAGTAATGCTTATTTGTACGCAATATCTCAAACAGAACAGAAAACAAACTCAATCAATGAAAACAAAACATAAAATCTCTGGTACCTATTGCTGCATCTGTAGAATCCTCGGGAACCATCTTCACAGACACACAAGTACTGGCAGCCATCATACCACTGTTGTCCCGTGGTGTAGTAGCCATTTTTATACACACAGTATTCTGTTAACAAAGTAAAAACACTAATAAGTGACTGAAGAATACACTTTCGAAAAAAAAAGTAAAAAGACTAAAAAGTAACTGAAGATTATGCTTTTGAAAAATTAACAAAAAAAGATAATGCGAAGGGTCTTTTTAGCTTTTTGTGTTGTATTCTCTGAAGGGGTAAGAGGTCTGGAAAAAGTCTAAGGCCGCATTCAGAACAGTAGACTAACTAGTTAGCGGGTCAAATATGGTGACCCAATGAAAAGCTTGTCATCTAATCTGCTAAAAGACACTGGATAGAATCACCGTGGGAAATTATTCAAGTGGCTCGGGCCATATCTGATCCGCAGACTTGTTAGTCTTTTGTTGTGAATGCGTCCTAAATGATATTTCCACACTTACCTCCCTGTATGGGTGGCTGGGTAGGTCTGTTGGTGACCACGCCCCCTGTTTGCCCTGTGTTACCTCCATT